CTGCAGCTCACAGCAAGCGGCACGTGCCTGCATGGCCTTACAGCCTGCAGGGTCCTGCGGGAAAAGAGCTGCTGGTCTTTCCACATAAAGACCCCATTATTACCAGGCAGGGCGTAAAGAGGAGGGACAAGTCTGATTACACAAAGACAAAGGGCTAAATGCTCATTTGTAGTATTTGGACATGGAGTTACAAAAGGATAGACAAATAAACCCCAGTGCCTAAGCTCTTTGACAGCCTGAGCTTTATTCCCTGTAGCTCCCCAAGGTCTCTTCAATATGTGGGTTAGTGCTACCGAGAGCTCTGTCTTCTACAGCAGCATCCAGAACTGGTCCACAGGATGTGGCTCAGCATGTGCCTGATGCTGTCACAGCCAGGACATGCCTCTCAGGGTCCTGAACAAGCCACACACAATCAGCAAGCAGGAGAGAGGAGAGGGAATTCAGGAAGGTTCTCTCAAAGGCAAATCTGCCATCTGCCTTGGTAGATCACCATGAGTGGTCTACATAGTGCTCACTGTAGGTTGAAGGCTCTCAAGTGAAGTGCATGCAGCTCACAGTCCTGATGATGTGAAATTTGCAGTTTTACTCTTATTTAAAAAAGAATGTGATGAACAGCATAAGTCAATAATGTAGGAGGAGATATGTCAAGTGGTAGATTTTGCATCAAGAGTTAACTAAGGCTGGAGGGGTGAGATGACACCCCCGATGCAAAGATGGGTGGATTCATCTGCCAGGCAGGCAGTGCCGTGTTACACAAAGTGAGTAAGTGAGTTTTGGTAGAGGAAGTAATGGAAATGAGCTGAAATGGGACAGAAGACCTCAGAGAAGCCCAGGGAGTGTTCTCCAGCAGTAGACACTGGCATTAGATGTTCTCCAGAGAAAGCCTTCGGGGATACCTGAGGTCCCAAAACACTCAGAGAAAAGAGTCACTGTGAAGTATTAACTAGAGTAACATTTTCCTGTTCCATGCTCTGTTTTCCAAACATTTTAGTCTATTTTTAGATGTTACCTTAAGCAACCAAACTAAACTTATTCTTTGTGCTTAAATTTTGTCCTGAAATAATGTCAGTGTCAACATGAATTGGGTATTTGTATCTGCTGAACACCTCCAAGGCTCTTCTGACTAAATCCTTATGCCTGTCCTCCAGGACAGGATGGGACTGAATCCCTCCTGAGGTGCCCCTTTCTCTGGGGTTTGCTACAATAACGGGCAGTTTGGGCACCCGAAAGTTTGCAGCATGTAGGAGGTTGTGCAGTGTGTCCAGAGGCTGTCCTTAGGCAGGTGACACCGAGCTGTGCTGGGTGACAGCTGTGCACTACCCAGTGTTGGATGCGGGATGTACTGAGGGGAGGAGAGCCTGAAGCACAGAAGCTTGAGCTTTGCACCCCTCCAGTGCTGAGTTATCGCCCCTGAGCTCCTCCAGCACCCTGCACGGAGCAGTGGCTCAGAGCAGCCACAGCCATCGGTGTCACCCTGGGCTGGCAGGGCCTGGAGCTGTGCAGCTGCTGGTGGTGGAAGCACGGGCTCTGCAGCGGAGAGCTGCTGCAGCGGCTGGACCTGCTATGCAGGAGGCTAGAAATGGTGTCTTGTGGATGCACAGGTGCAAGGGGGAATTTCTCCAGACACAACCCTCAGTTGAGTTTGATGAGGTGTTAATTAGACCATTCATGCAGCCTGAGCTGTTGCAGAGCAGACCATGTTAGCTACCTACTGCGTCTGTGGGTACAGGAATCCCAGAACTGCTCAGAATTTGCTTGGGAAAAAAATTATGGGATTCTAAGGAATTAACATAGATTTTAACAGCAGATCAGAAATCAAAGACAAAGGTTAATGCATGGCTGGATAGCCCATTTGGTGCTGGAAGAGAACAAACATGAGGAAAAGCTATCAGGAAGGAGAGATGCTAAAGAGTGCTAAAGCTCTGAACATGTGGTACAAAACTTAGGCTGGTGTGTCTGGGTGGATTTGCCTCTGGGCTCTCATGACCCATTGTTCCTCAGCTGGCATAGCCCAGTTTTTGGCACTGGTAACTCACAAGTTTGGTGTGTTACCTCACCATGAGAGGAGCTGCAGCAATGCCAGCAAGGTAAGGGCTGGCAGGCACTTTTGCTCATGCTAGACTGGCTGTTGATGTGGCCAGTCTAACTGTGGCCAGTTTAGGTCCTGAGACTGCTGAGTCACCAGAAAAGTGAAAATCTTTCTTGTCTGGAGCTACACTCTTTCCCTATACCTCATCCCACAGATCTCAGTCACCAGATCTTGTGGCTCCTTGGCTTTTTCTCTGCCCTCTTTCCAGCCCCCTTGGCCCCTTTTTGCTACTGCAGTCACCACTGTAAATCCACCCTGTGCTCACAGAGCCACAGCACCTCCAGCCAGGTGGCAGAAGTAGGTGAAAAGGTTCCAAATTGTCAGTCTTCCCCTTGCACAAAAATGTATCATCCTTCATGATTTTACTGCCTCCAGCTCCTGGTTTGTAAAGCCTGTGGAGACTTAACCATAAGGAGCCCATAAAGCTCAAGAAGCATTTTTGTCAGTGGTGGTGAAGCCCTTCCTCCCTGTCAGCTGTGGATATGCCAGGACTGGGAGGGGACATGTCTTAGTTATTTGTGGGCAGCCAAGTAGGGGTCAGGTTAATACCTGACTCAGTCCTCAGCCCTGCTCCTTTCACCCCAGATCAGCCCCAAGCCAAGGTTTCTAACACTTGCCTGGTAGAGAGAATTGGTAGCTTATAGCTCATGAAATGGCACAAGTTGAACACCAGGTTTCCACCAAAGCAAAATCAAAGTGCTAAAAATGGGAGAGACTTTGGTAGTGTTTTGATGTTAACTGCCCTTGCCTTATGTCTCTGCCATTGTGAGGATGAGGAGGGCTGTGCCTGTCTGTGTGGGTCAGCACGCCTCAGCCAGTTCAGGCATTAGTTTTTTATCCAAATAGCAGCCAAAGACAGTGTATAGACAGAGCCTGTTTGTTTAAATTCAAGTAAGAAGGAGAAATAAGTAACTGGAGTAGGTGGTACCTGGCAAAGGGAAGGACTCTGGATGAATTTTAGGAATGAATGTAGGCATTTTTCCCGTCCTCTTGCTGAGAAGGACTCCTGCCATATTTGACACAAGGGACTTGTAAACACTGCATTTTTAGAAGCTGTTTCAGCTGTTTGACTTTCTTTTTAAAAAAAGTATATCCTTGTTATATTGTATTACACAAGCTACCACAAGGCCGGTGGCACAAACTGTACCAGGACACTCAGCAGATCCAGAGTAAGAATTTTGTGCAAAGACTTAAGCCACAAGACAAAGAACTTTAAATTAATGATACAAAGGGAGGAGGAGGCCACTGCAGCATGAACTCAAGCTCTGGTAGCATTGAACTTATGAGTGACTCAATTCATAAATACGTTGAAATGAGGTGTGAAGGATGTGATGACTTATTTTGCAGTTGGTTATATAGCAGGGTCAAGGAGCTGAGATATAAGCAAAAGATTTAGCTACTGCTCTTGTAGGAGGAAAGAGTTAATATAGTTGTTGCTTCTGAAACTTAATTTGATTTCTGGAATGTCAGCATCATTGTCACCTATATAGGAAGAACAAAATGGATAAGAAAAGACATAGATGAGATTATGGCACTATGTAAGTACACACTGTACCTTCATTCTGATTACGATCTACAATCTTAGTCATTTCACCTCAGAAAAGATGAAATAGAACCAGGATGTTACAGAGAGGAGCTGAGGATGTGCATAGCGTGTGATTTCTTCACATGAGAAGAGATTAAACAGGCCATGCCTCTTCAGCTCAGAAGAGAGACAGCTCAGAGGGAATGCTACCGAGGCACAAGAGCCTGTGAATGGGCTGGATTGTCCACGGTGCAGAAAGCAGTTTGGAAGGAAGCTTTGTAAAGAAGGAGGAAGGTTATTTACATGGTATGCAATGTGTAAGTAATTGTCACAGGGTGTTGTGGAGGCTAGAGGTGGGTAAGTCCCTATTTCCTAACTCCTTGAGCTCCCCCCAAGGACATAAAGCCCTCTTTGCTGGAAGGCTCGTGCAGCCCTACCACAGATCAGGTTGGTTGAAGAAAGGTGATGCTGAGCAGATGGAGAATACAATATATCTGCAGATTTATACCTAGTTCACACCAGACTCTGTTCCCCAGAAAGAAATTCATTAATATCCACTACAGGATAAAGGCTTTTCAGCATGTGGCATTAGTGGGGTCTAGTAGCTCTTTCTGCTACAGGTATTCAGTTGTGCTGCTGGAACCTGAAGAGGTCAGTAAGTGAAGCCTGGGCCTTAGTGACCCTCACCAGCCAACTGAGACACAAGATCAAGTTTTTTCTACCCATCACTGTTGTCTCAAAGGCCAGAAATCTGCTACCCTGCTCTAGGGATCCACCAGAGCACCACCACAACCACAGGCAGGCCAGTCTGGTTCCTACATTTGGGGCATGTGTGGGGTAGGGGCTGTGTTTTGTAGTTCTTCAGGGAGTAGCAGATGAAATAAGCTATGTTTGTAAAGTCCAGCACTCAGGAGTCATTTAGATGTTAAACCACCTGGGTGCCTCTGCAATAACAACTTGATTCCTTGTGCAGCTGCATCCTTTGTTACAGCATTGCTTTTTGCTATTTTTCTTTTTTTATATATATATAATTTAAAGGATGAAAATCTGCTATTACCTGCATGGGAAAGAGATTTCCAAATGTGAATGTATCTTTAATGTATCAGGAATAAGCCGAGGAAGTTCCAGAGGCTGGCAGCTGAATCCAGACACACTCAAATGAGAAATAATGTACTTGGAGGCTAATTAACCATGGGAGCAATTTACTTAAGGTTGCAGTAGGTGCTCCATGACTGACAAGTATTGAATCAGGACAGGAGATGTGTTTCAGACATCTGCCAACACTACAGTGAAAGTTGTGGTCCTGGGGGATGTGGCTATGGGAGATGCTCTGGAAGAGGTCAGATTTGACCCATGGTGTCACAATACAGAGTTTGGGTATCAGAACCATCCTGGGGTGTTGCAGCCCTCCTGCTCCTTGTCCCCACAGCCCATTCATGACCTGTGAAGTGAGCCCCACCTTGTGCTAAAACCATTTCTGGGACAGAGCTGTGAACTGTGTGAGCCACTGAGCAACACTGAATCACGTTTTTCTCAGTCCTAGCTCAATGCAGGGCCCCACAGGTAGCAGTGGTGGCACGGGATGCTGGCACGGAGCCAGCTGCAAGGGTAAGAAAATGGACAAATCACAGAGTAATGGGATGAGTTGGATTGAAAGGGAATTTAGAGATTATCCAGTTCCAGCCCCCTGCCATGGGCAGGAACACCTTCCAGTAGACCAGGTTATCCAACCTGGCCTTAAACACTTCAGGGATGGGGCATCCATAGCTTCTTTGGTCAACGTGCTCCTGTGCCTTATCACCCTCACAGTGAAGAATTTCTTGCTAATACCTAATCTAAAACTACCATCTGTCACTTAGATGTCCTTACCAAGCTCAGTGACATGGTCTCATCCTCAAAATCAAAAACCCCCTACCCAAGATTCCTATTCCTCTATGTGTCTCTGATGTGTTCTGCTTTCACACCTAGAAATGCTGCCCCAGAAGATTTCAAAGAGTTTTCTTGATGATTTTAACATGTGCCCAGGCTTCTGATATATGGAAATCCAGCCAGGGGTATTACATGGGCAGCTGTTGGGGCTGCCACCCTTCTGAATATTTTTGCTCAGCATGGGCTGAACTTGTCCCACTGCTCCTGGAAGGGACTTAGTGCACACTGGTGCTCACAGAGAGACCCTGGTGTGTAGGAAAATGGCAAATTTACTGTGCCAGCCCAGCCCATCTGTGCAGCACATGTGCAGGGATCTGAGCTCTCCCAGAAGTGTCTGGTTTGCTGTGCCGGCACCAGGCTGCACACATGGAAATCCCAAATGAAAATGTGCCACCACCACTGGTCATTTTGACTGTATGGATCTCACTGGCCTCAAAATCTGTGGGTGGAGCAGCAGAGGTGCTATAGGAATAAAGGGATTAGTTAAATCCCTGTTCCTAAAACAAGGATATTTGGATACCTGTGCATTACTGCATCTTCACATCCCCTAGGCTTTCACCTCTTACTCCTGCAGTACCACAGCTGGCTGCTGGGCTGCTCTAGGTTCCCTCTGGAGTGTAGAGACCATTGCCCAAGACATCTGGGGGGCTCCAGGAACAACTCCAGTTCTAAAGGCAGGACTTGAAGAATTACCAGGAACTTTCTCTTGCAAAAATCTCAACAAAAGGAAGAAAACAGAAAGAAGGAAAAACAGACATGGAAAAGAAAATTTGATCTAGATATGTATGTTTCACCATAAGATTTTAATATTACCAGAACTAACTGATTTATCTTGCTGTTATAGAGCACTAAGCAAGCCAAGGCTTTTCTGTCCTGTTTCTGGTCTGCACTGTGCTGCCTGAGTGATGCCTGTCCCCTAGAACAGTTTCTCAGGAACTTTTTATCAAGAGGCCAAGTAGCTTCCTAGAGACATGGGAGATGGGGTATATGGACGTCCTGCTTCTGCTGCTCCTGAGGTTATAATAAAGGTTTGCTTTGCTTTTCAGTCCCTGCTCAAGGACAACTCTAGGTGTGTCTTCAACGGGGCTATAGGCCCTGTGGAAATGGCAAGCAAAACCAGAGAGCTTCTCCCTTTAAGCTTGGTCTGCTCATGGTTTTGGTCTGTGAGGGGAGAGTACCAAGCTGAGCCTGAAGGGGTGATTCAATAAAGTCCAGGATGGTTTACTTCCAGCCAGACTGTGAAGCATTTGAGGTTAGGAAACAAGTTGGGCTAATCTTCAAATCCAATTGCAACATATTGATCTTCAAATCCAATACAGATTGTGTTCATCATTTCAGTTTAGAGTTCATTAGTTCACTCTTATAGACTTTGTGCATTATATTTTACGCAGCAGCTCCTTTACAGAGAATTTAAAACCTTGGAGCTAGGGTTTTTGACTCTTCTGGCATATTTCTGCACACTTAGTTTTATACAGCAGCAACACCTCCTCAGCAATATTCACAAAATGTTCTTTTTTCCAGGTGACCAGTGTGAGTTGTGGGGAGCTCACACCTCTCCCTATGCCTGCAGTTGTCACCCAGCTGACATTCTCCCCCTGCTCAGCTGGGGAGGAACTCTCCCCAACCATCGAATTGCCACTGGTCTTCCAGGCCTGACCCTCAAGAGAGATGTAAAAGCATTTCAGAAAGGCTTTTGCATCTTTTACAGAGCCTGGGAGCTGAGCTCAGAGCACTGCAGGGCAGCAGAATCGGGGATGCATCAGTGCTACAGGACTTTACAGCATGTTATTGTTTTTCCATTTCTAATTGTATCTCTTGCCTCTCTGTCTGCAGGGATTTATTATTGCTGCCTTTGCCAGCATCCTCTTATGCTCCACGGGGTCCAGCTGCCCTTTTGTCCCAGTCTATAATTGACCATGGTCATTAATTTAAAGTCAGAATGATCATTTCCGAGCTATATTTAGCCTGGAGCTTGCTGCTCTTGTTTCAGACCTGATTAGAGGCTCATGTGCTGGAAAGCTGCTGCTCGTCCCTACCATGACAAACAGTCTGATGGTCTCTCCTCACAAACCTTCCCTCTCCCTACCCTCGGCCATGGGGCTCTCCTTGGGGTCGCTGGACCCAGCACCACTCACCCCAGTGTGGAGTTGGGACAGCTGTGACATTGCTGCCGTGTTCCCGGGATCCTTGTGCATCAAAAGCAGCCCAAGAAAATACAGCATCGTTTCCTTTCTCAGCATATTCATGAGCTCAGGCAAATGTCTCCTGTCATGTGTGTGCATTATCACTTCCAAAATGCATCAGCCACACAGTGCACGTTGCACTCCTGCACAGACAACGTGCCTGTCCAGTTGGAGCAAGCCTTTCTGTGTTTCCATATCCGTGCCCCTAAACATAGGAATATCAGAACTGCTTGGGCTTCCTCGTGGGAGCTGCAGTTTTCCAAGGTGCTGTTTGGATTGCTGGGCTGGGGAGCCAGGGAGTCACCACTGCAGCTACCAGCTCCTCCTGTGTGGTTGCATGTGGTGCCCAAGATTAGGAATTGCTTTGGTTTGGGGGCTGGCAGTGTGAGCGGGTGGACCTGTGTGGCCACAAGTCTGACTCAAACAGGAGCTGTCTGGAAGAGGTATTTTCTTAGTCAGGTCAGAAGCCATCAGGAGAATAATAGCCATATATCACTGACTTTAACCTTGTCCATGGAAGTGCTGTGGTGAGGCGTAGGAATGGAATAAACCAAAACCTAGGTCAGAATCCCATCAGTTTGCTAATAGCCAGTGCCAAAGAAAGAGTCAAAAAATAGAAAGCACTCAGCAGTATTAGTCCAGCTTTTCCTCCCTTCTTCAGGAGCTTCCTGAGCCTCCCTTCTTCAGGAGCTTCCTGAGAAGAAGTACCTCCTTTTAAGATGGACATTTAAAACATGTTAATTGCTGTTTAGTGTTGTTAAAGTCACAGAACTTAATACGTACCTCAAGATCTTGTTCCTGAAGGGTTGTTGTGTTCCTGAAGGGTTGTTGTGTTCCTGAAAGGTTGTTGTGTTCCTGAAAGGTTGTTGTGTTCCAAAAGCTCTCCCTACCTGCTCTAAAATGATGGCCAGAGCTCTGCTGGTGGTTTGGTTTCACTTTGTTATTCTCAGCTGTGCTTCCTACACGCATTTGTGTTAAGTAGAATTTATTCCTTCTATTTAAGGACACAAAGGCTTCATTAGAAAGTGTTTGTGGGTACAGTGGCCACCTTTGGTATCTCGTGATGTAGGGTGAGCATTGTTTGTTTTAGGATTTCCCCTGTGACAACACTGGGTTTATCTGGTTTCTTCCTCTGTTTCCCACAGGTTCATGAAAGTGGCTGGTGGCACGGTGGATGCTGTTACCTGGCAACAGTAGGTATTCACCATTCCTTCTATTTTCCAGCACCCAGTGCAGTGATCACAGATGCTGGGAACAGAGCTGATGTGTCAAAGGGGCAGATGTGCTACAGCCACCTCCTCTGCCCTGCTGAACTTAATCAGGTGAAGGGGGCTCTGCCCTTCTTTCTTGAGCTTCTCAAACAATTACAGGAGTGGATGTAATAACCTTTACCTCTGTAGCTGAGACACAGGATAGAAATCCCACTGCCTGCAAACCTGGCCTGCCAGATTGCTGGAAACAGAGCCCTGAACTGGACTGCTGAGTCTCCAGAGGCAGCTGGCAGGACAGGCAGCTCCGGGGGTGGCCTGGGCAGGAACAACAAGGAGACAAAAGCCACATGTCACAGATGTATGGGACTATCTGAAAGCCCTTTTCCTTTCACCCCAATCACTGTCTCCTCCTGCCCACTGGCCTGAATCTAAACTGGTTTGTCCAGACAAGGGAGAGGCACCTCAGTCCAATGGTGAACACATAATGCCCCAGCCCCCACTCTGCTTTGTCAGAGTGTCCACAGACACACAGCTGTGTCCTACATCCAGGTGGAGCCCCAGCAGCAGGTATCAGTTAAGAGGGGATGAACATCCAAGATCCTGGCCCAGCTGAGGCTGAGAGAGATGCTGTTACCTGTTTTTCCTCCTGGTCCTACAAATGCTACATTTCAAAAGAGCAAAGGAAGCTCTGAGCTGAGCACTGGGTGTAACAAGCACCATGTGAAGGGAGAGGTTTTCTTATTTGAGGGAAAATCCAAAAACTATTTTGTTCCTTTTATTTCCACCTGGCCTGGTTTGCGTGATGTGGCCAGAGGTAGGCTCCCCTGCAGGCTGTGGCTCTCTGCAGTGGGACTGCAAACACCAGTGCAAAGGTGAGGCACCATACAAGCACAGCACTGACCACCAAAACTGATACAAGAGGTTTTGTGGGGCAAGAAGGATTCTCCCCTACCACAGAAAGGACATGTTTCAGAGACAAGTATTCACTGGAGGGAATAAACTATGGTGAGACCATTCTGTTCTCAGAAAAAGTGGTTTTGCTGTCATGCTGGGTTATACTTCCCACACAGGACACTGGCCTGAGCATGGGAGCCAGGGTCTCAGCTCCAGGGTGTGCTTGAATATGCTGCCCACAGGTCTTGTTCCCAAGCTGATTCTTCACAATGACCCTCCATGAGGTGCTTGGGCTGCTTTGCTGAAGTGCTCTAGTGAGGCTTGTAAAGGCCCTTTGGAGACCTGCTCTCAAATAGAGCTCAGGGGGGTTTAACACACGAGGTTTTCTTGCAACTGCACCCACGGTCTCTGTGTCGTCATGTTAACCTCGGAGGCTTCTGCAGATGCAACTGTTGGCATCTTAGAGGGGTTTATAGCACCAGACATGACCAGCAACCTGTTAGTCCCATTCCCTGCCAGGCAGCAGCAGCTTGCTGCAAGGGGGACAGTGGGGTAGCAGAGGAATTGGAGCAGGATTTGTGTTACTTACAGGCTCATGCTGTGCAATGATGATCTATGTCTCATCTGGGAATTTGCTTTTCATGATTACACGATGTGCTGATCTCATTTACTTAGTCCAGGAATTTGCTTTCTGCAACAGGGCTTGATGGCTGGGCCAAGCCCTTGGATGAGTTGAAGGAACAATCTTCCAGGCTTCAGATGTGGAGTTTCATCTGGTGTGCAGGGAATCTGCCTGCATGGCTGCCTTGAAACCTTTTCTTATAGGATCAGTCTGAAGTGTTTGTCAGATCTGGTGCTGCAGCAGAAGCTTGTGGTTGGGAGGGCTGGTGCAGCTCCCCACAAGGGTCAGCAGAGCTGAACTGCTGCCTGCTGACCCATTTCCACTGCAGTGTTTCTGCTTCTCCCCCAGCCAGGGCTTGCAGCTCTGGAGATAGCAATTGTATCTGACCGTGAGGACTGGCAATGGCCACAGCTCTGAGCTGGGCTTCTGTACTGTTTATGAATAAATGTCAAAACAGTGTCTCATCCTTCTGCTCCAAACAGCAAAACAAAACAAAACAAGTTCCTTTGTATCCAAGAAGAAAATTATTAGCAGGAAACTAAACTGCTGTCTAATTTCAAGTATGAGTATTTCAGTTCCAAACCCTAACGTTCTCCTGGGATATTGGTTATAAATTTGTCAAATCTGTTATTCCTTTGAAAAGTCTGTGCTCAGTCCAGAAAGGGAATTGAGAAGGGAATATATTGCAAGGAGCCCTATTCTCTGTGTGAAAACAGAATATATCTGAAATATAATTGATAGAAAAATGACACTGGGTAGAAATAAGCAGCTCACCAGTGAGTCTCACTCACTCAACTGAGTGTGGTTTCACTTAGATACATAACAAAACTCAGCATGTGTGCCTCCCTCTTCAGAAGTAAAGTGTTGCTGGAGAGGGATGTGTGAATAGCTTCAAAGTGCTCAGGGAATTTCCTCTAAAGGAGGGTGTGACAGTGGCTCCAAGAGCTTTGGCATTACTCTGGTGATTTAGATTGTTATGTTTGGTTATGAGGAAACCCAGACCCTGTCAGCCTTTGGATGTGGGTTTCCACTGCTCAGGATCCTCCCCACAGCCATCTCTTTGCTCTGTGCTGGTGTCCTCACACATGGTGAAGATTCATTGTCCACTTAAACCTGCAGCTGTGCCCTGTTGCATCCCTGGGCACACTCAGTCTGCACAACTGGATTTCCATTTGAAGTCTTGCACACAGCTCCAAGTTTGTCATGGTTAATGGGAAAATCCTCATGCAATGCTGCCTCTGAAACACAAATCCCTAATACTTATGGGGAAAGTAAATGTTTGCATCTTCAAAACCAGCAGACATCTGTCCCTGTGGCTTCTTGGAGAATGCCACCTTCTCTTCCAAGACACAAAGTCACTTGTCCTGTGTGGCAAATCAGAGGTGCCAGCCACACAGGCATGTGTGAGATGTTGCTTAAAATGCTTTTGCCTGGCTTGGTTTGGGTGACATCTCTTCTGGCCAAGTCATGTTGAGTATTCAGGGGGAGATGTTCATCTACTACTGAGCAGTAGAACAGGACAGATTTCCCAAAGGTGCCAGGAGAGAACTTGTATGTATATACATATACATATACATATACACATACACATACACATACACATACACATACACATACACATACACATACACATATATATATATATATACAAGGGTGTATATGTAAGGGTATGTATTTGAGCTCACATCAGCCTGCTCCTGTGAGCACTCTGAATGCAGTGTCTTCACAGGCTGGAAGGAAGGGGCTGCAGAAAGGAGCCTCTGATCTATTTGCACCTGTGTGGTGATTTTAAAGTCAAACCCACTTCAACCTGCAAACAAACCTGGTCAGGGCACAGCTCTGCCCACGGGTTTGCAATCCTCTTCACTGTCTGATGGAAGGAACAGTTCCTGGCAGCACATGACCCTGGTCAGCAGCACATTTCCAGGCAAAGCCAGGGCAAGGCTGGGGAGATGGCACAGGCCAGGGACGGCTCCCAGTGGTGGGACAGGCAGAGAAAATTGCAGGTGCGAGTTGTGCCTTTGGGGCCAGAGGACAACCCCCAGACACTCTTCACCAATACATTTATTAGCTGGCTGCAGGTGGGCAGCACCTCTCATCTGTACCTGCAGGTCTTTGGAAGGGGCAGCTCACATCCTGCATCCCTTCTCCAGGAGAAGCGGCGTGGCTGCCCCGCGTCCCGCACTGCGGACACCCTCTCCTCGGGAAGATGCTCACGGCTCAGGGCCATGTGTCGGCAGAGGTGTCTCAGTTTCACAGCTGCAGTGGCAGCAGGGTGTCATGCTGACCATGAGGATCTGCCCTACTCGGCATCCCTGGCAGGAGGGTGCCCTAATTCCAAGCAGACTCTCCCTGTAGCAGCAGGCAACAAAGTAGATCCGGAAATTCCTGAGCTTTGGGAAGTGGGCTTTAATGTAATTAACTGCAACAGAAGAAGAGGTCAGATAATAGGGGCAAAGGTTTCTCTTTACAATGAAGGAGGATGTAAGTGAAACCAGCTGCCCAGGAGTCAATGCATTGCCTTCATTAAACACAGTACAATGCTTATGGTCCCATGCAGCAAATCATGGATTTTGCCAGAAAACCATTTTAAATGTAAACACTAGACCTGGAGGTGAGAGGACAGAGACATGTAGCCAGCCCCTGAATCACTCAAGTGCTCCGGTGCCTGGCACTGTCCCTCTCTGGGAGGCAGTGGGGAGCTGTGTGCATCCTGGCCTTGCAGCCTGCTCAAGAACAAGGGCATTTCTGTGTTCAGCCCTGCCTCACTACTGTTCTCAGCTCATCGTTGTCCCATGCTACATTTCCATCCAAGGATGGAGGTCAGGAATTGGGGTGGTTCATTTCCTAGCACTGGCATAAATTCTTGCCCAGCTGTTGGCTGAATCCTTCCCCTGCACCATTCTGGTTTGGCCACCTCTGGAGCAGCCCAGTCACATCTCTCTCTGCAAAGTGCACTGATCCCATCCTGGGTTTCTATGGCACAGTCAAATGATGATTTTAGAAATGGGGTAATGTAAGTGGAGGGGGAGAATTTGTCTCAGCTTTGTATAAAAGGCATCCCAAGTATACTAGGGCACCCTAAAGTAGATGTACATGGCCTTTGCTTCAAGATGTATGTTTCATCTGGGATTTAGTTGCTAGATCTCTCTTTTTCTTGTCTGTCTTTTCTCATGTTCTTGCAGACTGCCTATTCCTAGAGATGGTGGCATCAAACTAGGGGACACAATGGCCCAGCTCTATAAATATATGTTTGTGTGTGTGTGTGTGTGTGTGTGTGCGCACGCATAGCCCAGCTCTCATATCTGTTCTGTCCTGAATTAAGAGAAACAGCATGGTCAGTTCTCCTGGTGTGCATGCTGCTATCTCCTAGGCTTTAGGGCCAATTTCTGTTGCTGTACCATACCCAGAGCCCACTGGAAGAACTGTCAGCCTGTGTTGGAGACAAACAGCTTGTCCAAGAGCTACATGTGCTCTGCAGAGCGGTGGCTGACAGAGACCCCTGCCCATGCTGGGGAGGGTCTGTCCGTTCATCTCCTTGCTGGACTTGGCAGAGGAGGACGTGAGTGCCACGGACCCCGGGCTGGCTCAGGTCAGCTGCCTGGGGAGGTATTTGTCAGTGCTGGATATCTCTGCAGCTGCTGCTGGATTTTTTGGAGGTTGAAGAGTTGTGACTGTTTTAGGTTGTTGTTTTCTTTTTTTTAAAGTCAAGTGCACTGAGTCATTGTAAATATTAGCAAAGCTGCAGCCTGTACTCCAAGGAATAATCCACGCCTAATGAGCTCTTCTCCTGCTTTAAAGGCCTGACAGTTGTTTGCATTTTGTGGATTTCTATACAGCCTATATTGACAGTTAAAGCTGCCAAAAGGAAGTGTCCTTCACTCAATAAGATCAAGCTGGAAACCCAACCTGCAGCCAGGTATCAGCACAGACCTCAGTTCCTCTCTCTTCCTCACAAGCCTTGTGCAACTGGTGCCATTTTCCCTTTTTCCTAGACTGAGGAGGATGAAACCACTTGTTGGCATCTGAGGACTTCCCAGGCAGATTTGCAAGAGATCCTTTCCCATTTTACTGAAGCTTGTAATTGTCTTCCTGCTCTGTTTACACACCCAAAGCTGAAGTGTTCCCCTCTTCACCACCAGGAAATATGCTACCAAGAATTCTTGATACTGAAGCATGATTACTGATAATTAATTTCTGCCTTCATGCCTCTACCAGTCTCTGTTTATTTGGGTTATTAATGAAGGTGTCAAAAAAAAACCAAAACAAGTGACCATGGCACATATTCCTGGGTATTTCTCTTCCCTGTAGGGTCTGGGCTGAGCACAACAGCACCTTCCCAGGCTGCCTCCACGTGATTTCTGGGGGAGCAGAGGCTCCTCTGGGTCTGCTGCTGGTCCTCTCCCCTTGGCAGTGGAGCTGCATGTCAGAGCACACCTTGTGCTTGAATGAGGTGATAAGGAGGTGCAAGCTTGTCTTTGCTCTCCGAGGAGTTCTGGGACGATATTGGGCAAGGGGCTAAACCCTGCAGAAAACTTGATGGATTGGAGGGGTCATACACAGATTGAAGTCTACCTAACTCCATCTTTTCCTTGTGAATTCAACCCTTTTTTTACATCTTTCAGCCAGTTTTCAGCCCAGGTGATGGGGTTTTTAGTCCACAGCAGTCTGAAAAAGTAATTTCTGTTCCATTTTTAAGTGCAGTGCTAAAATCCAAACATCTGCCATCCCCAGAGAGCACTGCTTTGTAATTTTGTCTTAAAAAGTAATCTGTGTAAACCCCACCACTGCCTGCTGCTCACAGATCTGTTCTCCTCCCAGCAGCCAGTGGTTCGATAGCGTGTAAGTGATCGGAACGATTTTGAACACTTCCTAAATTCTCCCTGGAGATTATCTCTGCCCTTAGCACCTTCCAGTCACCGTGGATATACAGAAATGCCTCTTGCCTCCTTGCCCAGGTCACACAGTGTTGGGGTGTGCCTGGCATGTTCCCGGGCTCCTCTGGGGACACAGCTGGGACTGCACACCCAGGGGAGGGTTGACAGAGGAGGTTCCTCTCGTTGAATGCATTTGCAAGTTGAGCCTGTAATAGAATTCTGCTTTGGGACAGTTAGGGACTTGGAGTGGGGAGACACAAAAATCCTCTCCAAGCACTTGTGCATGTTGCACATGTGCCAGGTGCTCTGTCTGAGGCTGGGTTAGCCCACAGCATCCTTTGAGGATGCTCCTGCATTCCAGCACCCAAGTGAAACAGCCACCACCACTGCTACAGCTGCTCACTGGTGCAGATGAGACGCATGTCATGGAGAAAGCAGCCCTGGAAAGGTGAATGCACCTTCCTCCAGAGCCCAGGTCTTAGGCCTGTTATGCATCCCAGCACCCACAGCTGCACTGGGGTCTGCGGGGGGGGAGAAGGGTCTGTGTAACTCTGGTGAAATCTGAGTGGATGTAGATCCTGTGAGGGATGGGAGGCAACGACTAAGCTCCACCAGCCCCAGCCAGAGCTGCTGCTGTTCCTGGGAACTTCCATTCTCTTGCAAAACCTATTTATCAGGAAAAGGGCTGGCCCAGGGATATGCCAGTGCATACTGCAGCAGGCATATGTTCCCTGCAAGATTGGCAGGAGCCCCTGGGAGATGTACGAGGGCTGCCATTTCTCTTTGCATGGAGGAGAGGTGACAGCCCAAAACTTCCTCAGGAGGAGCAGGTTGGGATTACCTCTAGGCACAGGGTATGTGCAGTCAGCACAAAATGTCCCAGAGCGAGGAGACAGCAGTGAGACATTTCAGAGCCTTCCTCTCACACTTAGAGACAGATGATTCACATCATTATGGGCAGAACTGTAGCTGTACTTCATAAAATCAAGCACATGGAGAGCAGGAATCGGCCCCCTGTATGGGAAACTCCCTGGCATTCATAGGCCAGAAGGTATTTCTGTGAGAGCAGGATTTCCTCCACTGGTAACAGCCACAACATTTCTTGTCAGGGAGATTGAGCTGTGGAATTTTCAGGAAGAGCAAGCAAGGAAGGTGCAGGTTGTGCAAGAGTGCCCCAAAGCCTTTGCAGGGGCATTTTGCTCCCAGCCTTTAGAATACTGGCCCCAGAGTTTCACCAGCTAAAGTTAAGAAATTGCAAAACTTCCCATGGTCCTTGAAGTGCAGGATTCCCAGTGTTCAGGGTGTGTCCACCTTACATCCTGTTTTGGAGACTGAGGCATCTGCCACACAGGCATGACCAGAGGGCCAGGACAGGACAGGGTGCAAGCAGGGACTCCCCTAGAGCAAAGGAAGCTTATTGGTATGGGACAGCAGCAGAACAGGAGGATGTGGTTTGGGGGCAGAGATACTTCCAGCTGTCTGACCTTGTCTTCTTATTTTCCTTCCAGTTACTACATTGATGGTCGAGTGGCCAAAGTGACAGACTTCCTGAAAACACGCCTGTTGGACACACTCTCAGACCAGATCAGGAAAATCCAGAAGGTGAGCAAGTGCAAACAGTCTGCAGGGGTGAGGGGACACCACGCCTGCCTCATGGCCAGGGCTCAGCATCGACACATTCCCAGGGGAGCTGGGGTGGGGTGGGCAGGGAGAGGGCTGCTGGGCCCCGTGCTCCCAGTGAAAATGCAGCCAGCTCTCATTCAGGACATGGGGTGAAACTCCAGGCAGCAGAAAGCCTGGCCCCAGGGTGGGATGTGCAGTGGGTTTTGAGGGAAGTGGCCACAGGCTGCAGCACAGCGTGGGCTGTGCAGGTGTGCTGGGACACAGGCTGGATGCACACGGCTGGAGCAAACACCGTGCAAAGCCCTGCTGAGGCAGCTGACTGGCTTGGGTCTCCCATCTGTCTGTTCTTCAAGGGAGCAGCATGTAATGAGGGTGAAACTGGACTTGCTCCCCAGAACAAGGACAGGAGCGAGCAGGCAGGTGGGACCAAACCTTCCTGGGCATAGCTGCTGCCATGTCTGTTCAGGAGGGGGATCCTACCACCACATCTCGCCCCACTTGCTCACAGTGCCTGGAAATGCTGCTTGCAAAGTAGTGACAGTTGCATTCCCAGAGTGATTCTCACTGGTAGAGAATTGTGACTGATATGAACTAGTGTCCTTTTTCCCTTATGATCATGTTTTGACTGTGTCAAAAAACCCAGCTGTTGCTGGGCTGTGGTGTGAGAGTCCATGGCTCTGCCTGGCTCGTGAGTGCTCCTTTCCTCACTGGTCCAGGGACCCAGCTCCTAACAATCTCTAACAATGGGATACATGGCAGGGGCTTTGCAGGGTCCCCCTGCTTTGCCTGATAGAGGGGCCAGGGCTGACACTGACACACTCAGATGTCAGTCCTGGAAGAAATAAGGAACACCTAGTGAGCACAAAAGGCCTTAGGGACTAGAAGAGATGTCTATCCATCTGTCTTGTCTAGGTTTTCAAATCTTACCACTCACCACAATGTCTCACTTGTAATTCCTGCAGGGAGAAACCATAGAATGAGTAAACAACTCAAAGAGGCCCTGGGAAAGGGGATGAGAGGGTCAGGCAGCAAAGCTGGAGGAGAGAAGCTGCTTGCTGAGCCCTCTGGCACAAGCTGGGAGTCATCCACATATGTGGATGATATTCCTGCTGTGGGGGAGGCATGGCATAGTGGAATCACTGTGGGGCAAGCAAGAGACACCAGCTGACCCAGCCCCCAGAGGTATAATAGCCTGCCAAAAGTGGTGACGTGTCCCACCTCTGCTGCAGGTCAGAACCTGCTGGGAATGGAGTGGGACTCCATCCATTCCCAGACCAGAAGCAGCAAGGAGCTGCCCTTAGTGCAGTTCAGGGCAACCCTCACAGCCATGGGCCAGAATTTGGCCTGCACAGGGCAGGGCTGGGGAAAGCTCTCCTGGGAATGCCAGTGTGGCTGAGCAAAAGCACAGCACTGGGTGCTAATAGCCTCCAGCTTGGCTCTGAGTCCGTGCATCCTGCCGGGGCTGATTAGAGCAGCTGGACTTGTCCACTTCCCTGTTTTATTGCTTCCTCTCCGACCGGGGAAGGTGGCGGGCTTAGATAATTACAGGCAGGATGCCAACACCTCTGGGGCTTCAGTCAGGGTTGTGGACTCTCACAGGCTGTGAGTGGGAGGCAGCCCAGAGCTGGCGTATTTAACATCGTTGAGGGATCCCAGTCCATCCAGCACATTCCAGCTCTCCTCACTAATGGGGCAGGATCCATCAGGCTGTGCAGAGCGTTCCGGGGGCCGCTGGGTTTGCAGACATCTGGTCTTGGGAGCTTGTCACCCAGCCTGGAGAAGTGGGATTGCAGGAGAGGGGACAGGGTGTGGTGCCGAAGGTTGCTCAGGCTGGGAGAGGGCAGCTCTGGCCATCTGAGCAGTCCTGTCCCATCTGGCATCTCTCAGCTGTCTGCACTGCTGGCTGAAGCCTTGCAAGGGGTGGGCCAGCATGTTCTACCTGTGCCATGGGCTCTCAGGTGCCAGAGCAGCCCCTGCTCAGCTGTGGGACTCGCTGCCTGTGGCTGGAGGAATGCCACTGCCTTCTCCCTGAGTGCCCACACACCTTTAATCCATGTGGCTCCCTTATGTGGCCCAGTGCTCCCACACTGCAGGGCCTCTGGTGCCTGGGGGCTACCCATGACTGGCAACCACTTTGAAAGGGGGTACGGAGAGCTAAGGTGACATGAGAGGGCAGTCTGTGAGACAGAGTGCACGGGGAGAGCACAGGGGAAGAGCAGGATCTGCAACTGGGAACATGAGAGTACCTTTGGGAGCAGCTCCAGAAGATGCAGGTGCACATATGGCAGTAGCAGGAAAGAGTGAGGAATATCTCCCACCACCCAGCCAAGGTAAAGACACGGAGTGACATGCCATGGCCAGGCAGGTGCTGACTGTCCAGCAGCACCATCACCAAAGGTCTCCACAAGCCTTCCCATGAGACAAGAGATGTATGCTTGGCTTTAAATCACAGGTTCGCCAGAGTAACTGTGGTTGCTGTTGTCTCTCACGCAGGTAGTGAACACGTACACACCAGGGAAGAAGATCTGGCTGGAAGGTGTTGGCATGACCTCAGCTGGAGGCATGAACAACCTCTCCGATTCGTACGCAGCCGGGTTCCTGTGAGTGACGCTGCCTTCCCAGCACCAGGGCACTGCCACCCCCGTGGGCTCTGCAGGCTGAGGTGCTGCAAAGGCGCTGCAGCTGGAAGAGGGCAAGCTCCAGGCCCAGAGACCCCCTCAGTACTCCCTAGCAGCCTGAGTATTGTCAATTTCTCCATTTCATACCTATTACCCCTCCTCAGCTCTGCTTTCCATTTTCTCTCCTTTGAAGCATTCCTGGCTCCTGGGGCTTGTCCACTGGCACAGCCCTGTGGCCTGGATATCCTGCTGCAAAGCCCCAGTTCTGATATTCAGAGATGGCTGTGATCACAAAAGATGGAGGAATATTATCTAAGCTTTGCAGGGAAACACAGGGCACAGGGACATGCCTGGGCTATCAGGGCTGTGGCAGGCTGTGAGTTGAACATCTTGCCCAGGAGTGTGAGAAAATAGGCCGGTGCAAAGGTCTGATCCTCCCTGCTCAGAGGTGCAAAGGTCTGATCCTCCCTGCTCAGACAGGGAGTGCAGAGGGATGGCACGCTGGGGGAGCACCCCAGGCTCTGGGCACAGGGCTGAGATATTGGGGTGCACACAGGGGCTCAGGCACAGGTTTGGGATATATAGGTTTAGCTGGGCCAGGGGAAGAGACATGAAGACTTGCTGGGGCAGGGGTAGTGGAAGCCAGTTAATGCCCAGCTAACAAAACCATCTGGAGGTTTCAGCTTAGGTGCTGGAGCAGGGATCAGGTCGGATGCATGAGAGCAGCTGTGCCACTGGGACCAGGCAGTCCCCCCATAGTGTTCCCCCATGGTGCCCTGGCTCTGTTCCCTCTGTCCCCAGGTGGCTGAACACACTGGGCTTGCTGGCCAGCCAGGGCATCGACGTGGTGGTGCGGCATTCCTTCCTCGACCATGGCCACAACCACTTGGTGGACCAGAACTTCAACCCCTTACCGGTAGGTCTGCCCAAGGATGTCAAGCTGGTGCTGGCTTCTCCTTGCACTTTTGGGGGGATTCTCTCCTTGTGGCCTCTATAAACTGTGCTGGGAGATGAATTTTCTAGATCTGTTTGTTATAAATGCAACGGCAAATTAAAGATTAACAAAGATTAATTTATTATAAATTAATAAAGCAACAAACAGTGAGGAAAAAAACCACAATAAATGGACAGCGCAGCGCTGGGTGGACAGGGTCTATACGCAAGGTATAGGTGTTCCCAAATCCACGTCTGAGGGTTCTCTGGCCTGGGTTTTTATAGGGATTTTATGTCCCCAGGCTAGAATTCCAACCAGTTTCCATTCACCAAATGTCCCTGATTGTCTGGTGAATGGATTTCCTGGCCTAGAACATTGAGTCAGTAAGTATCCGGGCAGAGTCTCCTCAAATGCAAAGTGAGTCTGTATGTATTTTAACATATTTCATCACAGCGGGATTGAGAGATCCGGGCTGGTGCCGATGGATATCTCAGAGGAGTAGTCTCTTCTTTGTCTTTCTTGATTGAGTTTCTGTAGTATGGGTTTGGCAGGTGTGGTGTTCGATTCTGGCAACGACCATCTTCCTGGGGCTCTCCCTTTTGTCTTGCTTGATGGTCTCCAGCCGAAATCGGCCGGGCGTTGCCTTTCTCTGGAGGTAGACTTTTAGGCTGGTTCTTTTGTTTCTATGATGGCCTGTGTCCTGTCTTTTCCTCCGAGTTGATGAGTCTGCTGAAACCTGTTATCTGGGGGGGTTCTTTTGCAATTCGTGATTTTTGGAAAAGGAATTCTATCTCGACCGGGAGGAGAATTCCTTATTCCATACTTACATTTAGTTATAATTATACATACTTTATTTAAACTTCTTATTCCGAATTTTTATTTACTCAATTCTTTATTACATGTTCCTTACAGTCTTAATAGGAGATGTTAGTTCATGTCAGGTGCAACAAATGTTGGAGGCAGATGGGAGAGCAATATCTCTGTAGCTGAAATTTCATCTAATGCCCCAGGTCTGGTAGCACAGGAGGGAGGCTGGTACCACTGAGGGGTTCCAGGGCAGGCTGGTGAGTTGGGGGCACAGATGGGGAGGGCAGCTGGATCGCTCACACTGAGCTGGCCCAAGGGAAGCCAGGACTTCAGATTTCTAGAAACCAAGGTGAAAGCGTCACAGTGAGCTGTGGTTCTTATCAGTGCCTCACAACATCCCTCACTCTTGAGAAACACGTGGGCAGAGGGGAGCTCCTAGAGCACATGGTGTTGATAAGGAAACCATATGAAAAAATCCTGTTAAAAGTAGCAGGTTTCCTTTTCCTCTGGGCGTTAGTAAATATACTGCCTTGTAAGCAGAGAGCCTGGGAGAGCAGCTGGGTGCTCTGCATCTCTCCTAGAGAGGATTTATTGGTCCATGACCCAGCAGACACTGCCAGTGGGCTGGGGATCCTTGCTGGAGGTGTGCACAGCCCTGATACTGTGAGCCTGCCCTTGATGCTGGGCTGGGATCTCAGGAGCGGCTGCAGGGGAGCAAAGTCTGAGGAAGCTGCATCTCAGCCAGCCCTGCCTACTCAGGCAATGAAAACAGCATCCCTGCAACAGCATCCCTGCACATCAGGCTGGCTCCAAAGAGCAAGCCAGTGAGCAAGAGAACATGGTGCCTGCACTGCTCTGGGTACCTCCTGGGGCACCTTGGTCTGCTCCCACATGCAGCCTCCCAGCAAGCATACCTGCCAGCTCTGGGGGCCAGGCTGGGGGGAGCCTGGGGGGCTTTGAGCTTTGTTCGAGATGAACCTGAGCTCACAGCTAGGACTTGATGGATTTCTCCTGAAGAGCCAATTTTCCTGACTAAGCCACATCACCACCTTTCCCAGGGCGTCAGGGCCCGCTGGATTGCTCCCGGCTGGATGGGTGCAGGCCAGCTCCTGCCTGCCAGGTGCAGGAGGGTAGCAGATGGCTGTGGCCAGCTCTCCTGGCATGGCAGGGCAGAGGGTGACCCATGGCCAGCTCTCCTGGCACACTGGGGCAGAGGGTGACCCATGGCCAGCTCTCCTGGCACAGCAGGGTAGAGGATGACCCATGGCCAGCTCTCCTGGCACAGGGGAGCAGCAGCTCCAGAGCGGCTGGAGAAGGAGTGCAGTTCAGAACGGGATTAAAGCCAGGGAAGGAGTTAGAGGAATAAACCCCAGGCTGTTAAACACAATGGAAGTCTTTAACTTGTATTTTGCTGTTGTTTTAAAGAGAAGTCTCCCAATAAGTTAGGTGCCAGTCGCTGTCATGATTGTTTCCTCACTCTCCCATGTGCTTCAGCACTGATCCCACATCCCACCACACAAACTCTGCTCCTCACAAACTCTGGCAGGTGCTTCCACAACCCCTTTCCCTCCACTCCTGTGCTATCAAAGAGCCACAGGCAGGTGAAAACCGACAAAGGGCTTTAAAGCTGCAAACACCGTACAGCCCAGCAAGACGGGGCCGTGACCTGCTCCGCGGGCTGGCGGCTGCTCCTTTCCCGTGGGAGCTATCAGGAAGATAAAAGCTGCTGGCTGTACCTGTGCGGGGCCGCGGCGCTGTGAAATACAATCTGCTCATTAGCTGCCATGACAAAGAGGTTTCTGCACGCTGGCTGGGCGTGAGGCAGCTCTCAGCTGCCTGCTGAGAGAAGGGCTACACCACCACGGCATCAATCACAGCTGGGAGCCAGGCCTGGGCTCCCCATAGCAGTCTTTGCACCTCCTTCTCCTCCCCTGCCACTGCTGATGCCTGCTTGTCCAATAAGAAGATGGTCTCAGGTGGCAGCAGTGTGGCCAATGGGCACTGAAGCTTCCCAGTGAAATTAGGAAGATGCTCACATATCTGCTGGGTTTGCCACACACAGCTGACTCGTGACCTAAGTGGCATCTCGTGGCTTTTGGGACATCTTGCAAGAGATGCGGTCATTGTGTGCTCCTCCAGGTCCTTCACCCATGCAAGGGCAGCTTGAGTGCCCATCCTGGTTGCCAGAATTGCCTGTCCACTCTCCTCTGAGCTCAAGTGGTTTACGGCCTTGTTATTTTTGAGATAACATTTTTATATATGGTTGAAGTGCTTTTTCTTCCTGAGTGATTGGGGCAGTCAGCTGTATAATAGTCAGAGAAGCCCTTCAAATAAAGCTTTTTGCAGGTACATCAGTCTGCCTGCCTGCACTTAAACCTGTACATGTGTGGGAGCAAGGAGTGGAGGGAAGGAGGGCAGAAGCAGCACCAATATTCACTCTTCACAGGGCAGTGCCTTTGAAATGCTGATCCAGCATTTAGTACCTCTAGAATCATTTCAGGCATGCAACGTACATACTCTATCTCTTTTCCTTAATATCTCTCTGAAACAGTCCAGAGGGAAGCAATACATTTATTTCACCCCAGGCAGGCATGAGATTTCTCTTCAGATTCTTACAGAATGCTAAAGACGTTTTTCAGTGCTCTTCCATGTGGTATCGTGGTACTCAACTCTTTTTTATCCATCCTTGGTATTGATTCCTGCTCCTTTAATGTACAATGCTGTAAGGTTACATCTATGCAGAGAAAAAACTTGGGCATATTTCTAGGCAGGGTGTGAGGAACACAAACCCTGTGGAAAAGCCAAAACTGAAAACCAGACTTCCATTTCCTGTGGCTCCTCACGGACCTTCCTCTAACGAGTATGGGCGGTGAGAAACTGAGTTTGGTAGACACTAAAAGTTCTTTTCTGCACATAAGATTCATTTGCAGGATGAGAAAGTCCTGGAGGGATCAAGGGTGAGTCGACAGCAGGGGCTGCCTGCTCAGCTGTGGTGGTAGAAGACAATATGATATTGCCTGTGAATTGATGGTGTCCTTGAGAAAGCATCACAGCAGTGCGAAGGTCTGTGCCCAATGGTGCTGTGATCAGATGCTTGGATGCTGCAGGTGATTTTTCACCTCCTTGGCTTCGCCCAAAGGCACTGAGGAGAACTCGATGGGAAAGAACGTTACTGTCTGCCCTGGAGGAGGGAGGACCGTGGGCTCCTGCTAGGTCCGTCTGACCCGTCCCGAGCACCTCCGCTCTCGGGAATGGGTTGGGCCGCCCCAGTTTCCAGGTCCAGGGAGGCAAGGGGCCCTCGGGTGAGGTGCCAGGAGCGGCTCCCGGTCCCGCTCCCTGCCGCACGTCCCCGCTCCCCGGTGCTCTCGTTAGCGGAGCTGCCTTGGCAGGAGGAGCTGCAAATCGCAGCTGAAGGTGCCAGCCGGTCCCTCTGCGGCCCTCCCCGGGCAGCGCTGCGGGGCCGGCCCTCACCCACCCGTACCAACCCCACCCTGGGCAGCAGGGGAGCCGCACACCCGCACAGCCAGCAGAGTCGCACCCGCAGCCGGCCGAGCTGCCAGGGCGGGACTGTGGCTGCTGTTCCCCCCGCTCCTCGGGGACCCTCGGCTCCGGGTCACTGTCCAGGTGGCCGGGCCGGGCTGCAGGGTGCGCCGTGCAGGCAGAGACACGGCCACAGGTCTGGGAGTGACAAAGGGTGGGGACAGGGAGCAGGTTCACTGGAGCTTGCACACGCACATGGAAGCTGTTCCTGATGACTGTAAATGTGCTGCGCAGGCGTCTGGCACCCCCATCTGCCCTGCAGGCTAGAGCACTGACTCTGGTGGGAGTGATGCCTGCAGACAGGGAAGGCGTGGGAGAGGCGAGGATCGGCAGGAACTGTCGTTAGAGGACGTTTGCTTTGGCCACAGATGGGAGGGATGAAATCCCGGGCAGTTCAGATGTGCATGGGGGAAAAGCTCTCCCATGAGATGTCAAGCTAAAGCATGGTCTGCTGAAGGGCAGAGTGGAAATGGTGCCCTGTGGAAATCTCCCAGTGAGCCTTGGCACAACTGCCTGAAGCAGGTTTGAGCAGGGCATCCACTCCACCGCCTTGTCCTTTCTATCATGTCTCAAGGATTGAGGCGTTCTCCTTCCAGGAGTTCCAGGTTAGCTCTGAGGATCGTTGTATCTGTGAACAAGGAGACAGGTTTAAAGCAGCTACAACTCTGCTTGCTGTCACAGTGGGTTAAGAGGCCTTTCCCTCTTGGTGCACCAGAAAAAAGGTCTCTGAAGTGCATATGCATGGACTCTCAAATGGATCAAAGCCATGCTATGGCTTGCAGCTCTGGCACCCACCCACTGGAGCTGCAAGACATGTGCAGAGCTGGAGCCAGACTGTTCCTCCTGCACTGGAGTCTGGGGCAGAGACAAACTCCATCTGGGACCGGCAGCAGCAGGTTGGTCTTGGAAGGATGAACACAGCCATGGCTCACATCTCCCAGAGGCACCATGCTAGTGCTAAACCTGCCCAGCTTGGTCACAGAGCCAACCCAGGGCTGTGGATAAGGTGGGACAGAAAGACCATTCCCAGAGTGGATTGGTGCTCTGGAAGAACAGGAAACAGAAAAATTGCATTTGGTTTCCAAGCCCTCTGATCTGGCACTCTGCTCCCTTCCTGTAGCCTGCATCGCCTGGACCCTGTTAGGAAGAGGTGATGACAAAAGAGAGATTTGGCTGTTCCTCCATCTGCTCAGATCCCAGAAGGTGGGGAGGCCACTGGCTGCAGCCAGGCTGTGATGGGCAGTAGGCAGGGGTCACATCCTACTCACCACTTTCCTGTTTCCTGGGCAGGCTGTCCCCTCAGTGACACTGGTGCCTGGCAGCAATTCCTGTGGCTGCTGCTCCCACAGTAGGAATTTTGCTGTAGACCACTTGCTTGAGGAGAAAGTTGCAGGAAGATGTAAAGGCACGAGACAACGCAGGGAAGAGTGGTGTGAAATGAAGTGTTTGCAGCCATTAGAGAAGGAAGGAAGAGGATCAGGACAGTGAAAGCAACAGATGCCCAGGCAGAGATGTCAGCAGATTCAGAGGACTGGTGATGGGGCACCTGCTGGGATGTGGCCTCAGCAAAAAAGGGATTGGTCAGCATTGGCTATGCTTTCACAGGTGGAGGTGTCAGGATCAAAGCAGAGGTCTGTCCTGCTCAGGAGGGACAGAGCAAAGAGGCAAGGGGCCACTTCGCTGCAGCATCTCTGTGTGCTGCCTCCTCCTCCCCTGCGAGTGCCACCAGCCTCTGGCAGGTCAGTCCACTTGAAGCCCCCTTGTTTGGGGCTAGAAGGAGCCTTGATCCCTATTCACAGATGTCTCTGGAGTGTCCCCTGTCATGCTCACTCACAGACTCCACAGTACAGCAGCAAATGTAGGAGACTGTTCAGTTCTCCAGAACCCACACAAGGAGGGGGCACACACGAAACAGCAAACAGATCATGTCCCTGAGGGTGGGGGCATGAGAGCTCAAGAGGGCAGCATTAGTATCTGAAATTGATGATTTTGACTTCAGAAAATGTTGTTCACTTCGGGATGAGGCTCTGCCCCACTCTGCTTGTCACAGGACCTTGCAAAGGCTTTGGCTGAGAAAACCTTGAACTCCCACTTAAGAAGCACATAAAACTCAGGGATAATGTTAAAAGCAGCATTATCCAGCCTTGCTGGAGGAACAAGCAGCTATGGCTTGAACAGGATGTAAGGACCTCCATGGGGAGAAAGCTTTGGATGCTGAGCATCTTTAATCTAGTGGAAAAAGAAAGAACAAGAACCACTGGTTGGAAGCTGAAGCCAGACAAATTCAAGACAAAAATAAGGAGTGGGATTGTTAACAGTGCGGATATGTAACTGCTGGAACAGGCTCCCTGGGAAATGGCAGCTTCTCCATCCCTCCAAGTCTTCACAACCACAATCACTACTTTTCTGTAAGATGCTTTTGCCAAAAACAAGCCATCAGGTTCATAAAAGGGATAAAGGAGCAAAGCCCTCTGTCCTGTGGTGCTCAGACCAGCCAGCCCTTATCTCCACACAGGTTGCTTGGACTGTGGAAAAAAGCAGATGAGGGTGCAGGAATGGAGCCCTCCATAACAGGCTGCTGGAACTCGAGGGAGTGTAAGGCACAGGGGAAGAACTTGGGAAGCTTCAGAAGTGAGAAGAAGCAATAAGAAGTGCAATAGGGTGAGCAGCAGCCAGCTGATGCTGCTGGTGACTTGGGAACATAAAACCATGCCTTGGCAGCCCCAGCCAGAGGAGATTGTGCACCACGGGCTCACAGCCTACTTGTTTGAAATTCAGCTGCCTTTGCTGGTTACAGTCCCCAGGAGACTGAAGGGCTATGGACCTTTTACTCTGGTTTTCTGGTTATGGAAATATTTTCTTACACGTGGACAGCACAGAGCTGAACAAATTCAGGTGGGCAACAGAGCTGCTTTGCTGCCTCTAGGAGAGAGAGAGGGGATAATGTCTGTCCTTCTCCTGATGTCTCTGTGGACAGGAGGGTCTGGCTAATAGTTCTGCCTCAGGGTCTGCCTAATCAACCTCATTTCCAAAAGCTGAAGTCTCTAAAACTTCTGCAATGAAGTAAAATGTGCCAAGAGATCAAGTAGGACCCTCTGGGCTTTCCCTTTCTAGTGGAAAGCCTGAACATCTTCACTGGTCCCATGGAGCTGAGAAGATGAGGCTCCCTGAGCTCTGCACATCAGCTCACTCAACACAAGCACCCCTCCTGCCCACAAATCAGGGATCCCAGACAGGAGAGCTCTGGAGGCACAGGAAGGCTCTGCCTTCAGGTGCTCTTCACCTGCAGTACTGCTTGATGAGTCTGCAAAGTAATTAAACCAAGAAAGATCCCGCAGTTCCTGTGGGACTAATAACAAACCAGATTCCTCTACTGCTACAGCTGTACTGCTGGCTTAGCCCTCACAACAAGAGTCTTCTGTGACTCCAAAAGACAAATCCTTTCTGCAGTTGCACAGGTTGGAGCAACCTATCTCCGTGGACACTGCTGAGACTGCCCCTGACAGGATGTCCAGCACCACACTGCACGTCTTTGCAAGGGGTATGGGCACTGCCAGCCTGGGAAACTTCCTTGCACACGGTGTGCCACATGGGAACAGGTTCCAGCTGCTGTCAGGGGCTGAGGAAGAGGTCACTGATCAGTGAAAAAGCCACCCTGGTTGCAACCAAGCTGGGTTTCAAGAGCAACTATATTCCCAAGCTGGTCCTGTTTGAACAGGAGCTGGTAGCTGCAGGAGCCCAACAGCCCTGGCATGATTTTGGCTGGGGTTCACTCATGCCAGTGGAAGGAGCAGCCCTGGAGCACCAGCCCAGCTGGGGAAAGTGTCTGTCCGCAGCAGGTTTGTTTCAGTCATGCTAGGTGTGTGTAATTCATCATCCAAGTGCTTGGTGTCACCAGTTCTTGGTAATTTATTGCAGATAACATGATTTTGGCCCCTCACACAAGTGGATTTGCGATGACGCGAAAAGCTGCAGCTGTCTTCAGTGCTTCCCTGCAGTGAGCTGAAGAGCTCAAGCGCCTTGAGGCCAGTGCTGACAACTCCTTTTTCAGCCCCGGGTCATTTTTCTGGCCCTCCTTTGAACTCTCTTTGGTATTTTCACATCCTTCTTGAAACTGAGACTTTGGAGCTAGCTTTGCCAGCAAGGGGAGGTAAAAGCACTGCTCTCCCCTCACCTCCTGCAGATGTTGGAGGGACACAGTGGTCCCTGCACTGCCTGGAGGCATTGACTGTGCTGAAATACTGCACACTCAGCCATGATCACCTCACACTTTGCAGAACAGCTCACCCTAAATCACTGCTGTCTTACCCATCTCATGGCACCTGCATGGTTTTTCTCAGAAAAGCTGAGTATCCTTAGCTGGGCCAGAAGCTTACAAAACATAGCCAACACTTTTCAGAGGGACAATCATGTGTCCTTGTGGAGATGCTGGATGGCACAGCTCTGCCCATGAGCCATCATGGCAGGAGCCTGGGGCTCAGTGCTTCCAGCTCTGCAGGGTTATTCAGAGAATCCTTGGGAAGAGCATGTGCTGAGATGTGAAATTTGGCAACAGCTGGGGCAGGTCATGGGGCTCAGCAGTCTCCCAGGACCCCCACATTACAAACCTTGCTGCTGCTGAGCCTTGAGAATGGAGGGACATTCATGATTCAAAGCAGCAAATCCCTGGGGACCACCCAGCCCAGAGGGGTGGGTGCTCAGCTGGAGGCTGGAGCTGCTGATGCCAGCTCACCATGCAGGCAAGACCATTGAGAGCCTCCTGCAGAACAGCTCTTGAGATCCATATGGAAATTCTGAGGGCAGACACTGCGAGTCTGGCCTCTACCACTCCCATAACTTGTGGGTGAAAGCAGCATCTCATCAGTGGAATTATGGAGAGGTGGTGAGAAACCCCAGGAAGGCTTCTAGAAATGACCTAAAAGCTTGAACTGGCAGCTAGCTCAGGACACCAAACTTAGTTTTAACTCATGACCATGGGGCTAAACACTGAAGTCTGTGCTTTTCATTTTCTCACTGCAAACTCAAGTAATTACTCATCTAATGACTGCTAATCAGAGTGGCTCACCAGAGAGACAGCAGAGCTGTTTCTCCTGCCTGCTGTGAGCCTGAGCAGCAAAGGCTGGCACTGCTTCCCACAGAAGCTTGGAGCAGGCAGGGACATCCTCAGGCTGTAGAGCAACCCAACCAGCCAGCAGGGTCAGGGACAGAGGCATGGCTTCATTGACAGCACAGATAAGCAGCACTGAGCACTGCAGCTCATTCTCCCTGAGAGCTTTGATCTTGTGGCTGAGCCATCTCAGGCTACACCAGCCTCTCCCTTCACACTCACATCTCCTTTGGGGCCCAGAGCTTGCAGAGGAATCAGTTACCACACTGGTGTGGCACAAAGCCCCGTGGTTTTGGCTGGGAGTAGCAAGAGGAGAACAGAAGGTGGCTTTTTCTCCAGCATTATGCCAAAATCTTGCCAAGACAGCAAGAAGTGTGTCTGGATCTCTCTTTGGCAGCTAAGTGATGATGGAACAGATCAGCTTCTGCTGGGCTGGAAAGAGCATGGGGCTGGCAGTCCAATCTGGCTGGTGGGTTTTCACCTTGTGCTGGTCACTGTGCCCCACTGCTCGGTTTTATATGCTGAACTCTTAACCCAAAATGTGTGTTAATCAGGGGCTGTGTGAGGGCTTCCCACACAGGATGGATGAGTCTATATGAGATGTCTGCACTTCCACCTGCCCATTCTGCCCTGCACCCTGGGGGCCTGGAGACCCCATTCCCAACCACATGCTCTTCTGGGATGTAAAAGCCCTTTATCATTATCCTGACCGGGCAGGTCCTTGCCCTTCCCAGGCACTGTGCAGGGTGCTTGTTCAATACTCATTTCCTCCTCACAATGCAGGTCAGACCTGACAGGCAGAGAAGCCCCTGGTGCTAGGGTGACCATCGCTGCTGGATGTTTGACACTGCCAGCAGAGAGGGGGGATTACTCCAATTGCCCTGGGGCACATGGTCCCTCTAGGATATCCAGTCTAGGCTGTTCAGAGGGCGTTTATCCAGAGTGCTCATGTGTGAGAAGGTGTCTCAGCACCCACAGGCAGCACTCAGAGAAGCAGGGAGAGAGGCTCCATCTCCCCAGCATCACCTGCTGTGCCTGGAGCAGCAGTGGGGCCAGAGCCCCATCCTGCAGAACAGCAGGCGAGGGCTTGAGCCTGCCCTTTCCCTTCCCACAACCCTGCTTCATTTACCACACACCTCCCAGCTTCTGCAGCGGATGAGTGGGGGGCCCTGCCGGCAGCAGCCTCCGTCACCACACAGCCTCACCTCCCTGCCCAGGGCTTGGGGCCCATCCTGTGTGCCGTGTGAGGCCATGGCCTGCGGGAAAAAGTAGTGTGTGGTAATTAGTGACGTAATTAAGGCTGCATCATTTATGCATGTCTGTAGGGTCTGAGCATTTCCTCTTTCCTGAGTGCTTGGCTTCCCCATGCTTCACGGGAGGCTTTAAAAGGGGAGAAATACCTCTGGGAAGATGAGCACCCTCAGCAGTCCCAAAAACCAGTGTGCCATGAACAGAGACAAAGAGCAGGGAAGAGTTCTCATGTGCTCCAGCTCTGTGTAGAGTGGGGGAAGAGCCTGCCCCAGAGACATCACCACGCTGTGTGCATCAGCTGGAGCTGATGTGCAGGTCCACAGCATGGCTGTGTGTTGGTCCATGGGTATGTGCAAGGGTGCTCACACTGCTCCCCAGGCCCTGCAATCCAGCCAAGACCTGAACTCCTCTAGAGGGTACCTGTGTCTCTCAGCATGGGCAATGCATTCCTCCCTGAATCTCTTTCCAGGAAACATTCATGCCGTTATGGCTTGGACTGCACCAAAAAAAGCTCATCCCAAGGCAGATATCTGGTGTGCAACATTTTCATCCCAAAATTTTGCCAGGCTGCAGGCAGGGGAGCCAGCCTTTCCTGCCCATGCCCTCTATGAGTAGGGTGGGCTGTTGTGCTGCTGACTGTCCCCTCTGCCCCCCAGGACTACTGGCTGTCCCTGCTTTACAAGCGCCTCATTGGTCCCAAGGTGCTGGCGATCCATGTGGCCGGTCTGCAGAGGAAACCCCGGCCTGGCAGAGTCATTCGCGACAAGCTCCGGATTTACGCCCACTGCACCAGCTACCACAAGTAAGTGGAGCAAGGAAGGCTGGGGGATACAGGGCGGGATAAGCGATATCCCAGGAGACGGGGACCAACACGCCGGGGCAGGTTGGCTTCCCAGCATCACTCGAGTGCTGCTCTGGCCGCTGTCACAGTGAAGGGAGAGTGCAGGAATGGCGATGTCTCGGATGATAGTGGTGGCAAGGCCGTGCCTGGGAACGGGGCCGGCTGGGAGCGCTGCAGTGGCCGCCGGGCAGCCCGGGCAGCAGAGATCAAGGGAGTGGATTTCACACGAGGGGCCCCGCTCGGTCGGGTTACCTGCCCGGCCGCGCTGCCGGGGAGCCTGGCCTGGCTATTGTTTCGCTGATAAGGTCTTTGAAAGCACCTCAGAGAGCCGGGGGGGGCGGCCACCTCCTCCGCGGACACAAGTTGCTATTGTGGAGGAGGAGAGACTGTTTCTTTACGCAGTCCAGATGCTTTCAACATGCCTCCAGCTCGGTAGGAAACCTTGTCCAGTAACTGACAGGTGCAAAGTGCTCTATAGCTTTTGTTTGAGGCTGTCTGATTAGGAAGGGACAGAGGATCAGTGTCTGACCTGTCTGTCAGGTGCCTGGGGTGGCGGGGACAGACGCCACTCAGGCACAGAGCTCCCCTCGTTCTCAGCCTCTTCCTCGCAAGGCTGGGGAGGGGTGGGAGTGGGGGAAGCTGTCCTGGGACTGACACTCTGTCCTGGGCCACCCCCACTCTGTACAGAGTTGCAGCGTCCTCTTGTGCTGCTGGCTGAAGAGGGGGGGTTTAAAGGTGTCGCCACGGAACCAAGCTTCACGGTGGGACGGTGGCATCTCCCCGTGAAGGGACGGCAGGATAGTGAATCTGGATGTCTGCATGAGGCCAGTCCCTGCAGAGACCCCCAAGCCCCTCCTTGGAGGTGATGCTCCCTGGGGACATGGCAGTGCAGCTCTCATCTCCTACTCTCCCCTTTGCAGTCACAACTATGTCCGGGGATCCATCACGCTTTACATCATCAACCTGCATCGCTCCCGGAAGAAAATTAAGCTGGCAGGGACGCTGCGGGATAAGATTGTCCACCAGTACCTGCTGCAGCCCTACGGCAAGGACGGGCTCCACTCCAAGTAAGTTTGATGCTGGTGGCTGGGACTGCCACCACTATCCCACCCTCAGTGCCGCTGTGCTGACCCTCTCCTGGTGCCACAGGTCGGTCCAGCTCAACGGGCAGCCGCTGGCCATGGTGGATGATGGGACTCTCCCCGAGCTGAAGCCTCGCCCGCTGCGGGCCGGCCGCACCCTGGTCATTCCCCCGCTGACTATGAGCTTCTACGTGGTGAAGAATGTGAACGCGCTGGCCTGCCGATACCGATAGCCTGCGGCCCACCAGGGACTCGCCAGCCCCGCTCCTGCCCCTGTGCACTGCCCAGGTCACGCTGCCTCCTTGGCAGCCCACGCAGCCTCGCCGTGGGGCCGTGTTGGGCAGCTCCACGCCATGCCCTCATCTTCACCCCCAGGATGTTCTCCACCGTGGCACCACTCCTGCCCTGTGACCGCAGAGCTCCGCGTGCCCTGGCCACCAAACCGCCAGAGCAGTGCGACAGCCAATTTGCACGGCCTGCCACCCTCCGTCCCGTGAGCTGCGAGGAGCACCCGGGCCCTGGTGCCCACTGGCTGCAGGGAGGGTTGGGGTGCTGAGCCCCGGTGTATCCCGGGACGGACACCCTCCCGACCCCCTGGTCCCGCTGCCCTTCGGGATGACTCCTCCAGCAGCCGGACCTTCTCCCCGGAGGCGAGCAGCGCTCCGGTGCAGCAAGCGCATGGAAGCAGCTCCCTCT